CACCATCAACACCAACACCACCACCACCAGACCACCAACACCAACACCACCATCAACACCAACACCACCACCACCAGACCACCAACACCAACACCACCATCAACACCAACACCACCACCACCAGACCACCAACACCAACACCACCATCAACACCAACACCACCACCACCAGACCACCAACACCAACACCACTATCAACATCATCACCACCACATCAACACCACCAACACCATCACCACCATTAACACCATCACCACCATCGACACCATCACCACCACCACCAGACCAACACCAACACCACCAACACCAACACCAACACCACCATCAATGCCAACACCAACACCACCAGACCACCAGCACCAACACCAACAGCACCTCAACACCATCACCACCATTAACACCACTGCCACCATCAACACCACCACCATCAATACCACCACCACTTGCATGGCACAAAGTCTGAGCCAAGCACTGTCCTAAACCTTTACATAAGCAAGTTTTTCTTTTTTTATTTCTTTTTAAAACTTTGTCAGAGGGCATATGCACTCACCAGAGAGAGAGAGGAGAAGGCAACCCCCACTGGGGCATGGTCACACCCCAATCCTATCAGGATTTTATGCACTCACTCACATAAACCTGGTGTTTTTCAAGTCTTTGGGGATGGGATTCAAATCATGGTCGGCCTAATGAGATGCAGTTCCCTAAGACACTTGGCTATGAGCCAGTCCTACTCATGAATTAGCTCCTCCCCTCTGCCTAACATCGTTCTTTTTTTTTTCTTTTTTTTTTTAATCATTTTTTTTGGGAGAGGTTTTTGCTATAGGGTGCGTGCGCTCGCCAGACAGAGAGAGATAGAGAGACAGAAAGTGAGAAATCACCCCCCAGGGGGATGGCCACGCTGCAATCCCTTCTCCTCCATTCTCCTCTTGGGATCTTGGGCACGCACACGCATGCACCCGGCGGGAGTTTAAGCCACCAAGTCCAGGACTCAAACCACGGTCGACTACATGGGAGTCCAGCGACATAGCCATTATGCTAATTGCTGGTCCCTGCCTAACATCCTTCTTATAAAAAATTTGTAATGGGGCCCAGCAGATGGGGTGGCGGCTACATCACTGGATTCCACATGGCTGACTACAGTTTGAGTCCTGGACCCAATGGCTTGAAACTCATGCTGCGTGTGTGTGCGTGTGTGCCCAGGATCCCAGGAGGAGAGCAGAGGAGATGGGATTACAGTCCCCCTTGGGGAGAGGGACGATTTCTCACTTTCTGTCTCTCTGTCTCTGTCTCTCTCTCTGGCAAGCATACACACCCTAAGGCAAAAATCTCTTAAAAATTTCACTATGAAGAGAGCACTTCCAGATTGCACTGTGGTCGCCACGTGGAATCTGGCTTCTCCTGAGGAGCACGTTTCTGCTGTGCTGTGGAGCTGGACTGTCTGCCGAAGGTCCTGATCCCGCCCTTCCCACTCTAACCCACCCCAGTCCCGATGGCTCCTCTACCACATGATCCACAGATCGTGTTATGAGATTAGTCACTGTCTCACCTGGAAGTGCATAAAACTGCTTCCTGTCTAAGGCAGAAGGGGCCTCAGCTTGAAACTCTATCATTGCTGTCCAAGGTCACTTTTTCCAATTGCTGCTGGGAGGTTGACCGATTGACTCCTGCTAACCTTCGGCAAACAGGCACGCCCTGGATTCTGGCTGCTACCTGACAGCTGATTCCACCAGGAACTTGCAGGCATCCCCTTCAGAGAGCTCATGCCTACCCGTACCCAATTGCATATTTCATTCTTTGCTGGCTCCATCCAAGTGGCAACCACGTCCCTGAGGCTGAGAAGAGTGCTCACTGGGTCCTGCATGTCATTGGTTTGTGAGACTAGGCAGGTACAATTGGAGGACCCCAAATTCTGCCTATACCTTCATGTCTAAAAATTTCACAGAGTCACCAAAAAGTGGGCCAGCAGTGACTACACAGAGCTCTGGGGTGCTGGATCCAGAAGGGAAGGTCCTGGGTTCAAATGTGAAAGTCTCTCTGAGTACACATGCCTGTGATCCAGGCTGACTGAGGCTGGGGGTAGATCGCAGTGTGGAGACTCTGCTGGGGGCGACTACCTTTCTCTCTCTCCTTCAAGGGAGAAATAAAATAAAATATAATCTTTAGGGCCAGGTGGTGGTAAGGTGATTAAGGTGGCTGGATTCCACAAGATCAACATGCGGTTCTAATCCCAAAGCTGGTAACTTGAGAAACACCAGGGATGAGTCTGTGGGTGCCAAAGTCCAGAGGGGAGAATGGAGGAGAAGGAACTAAGATGTCATTCCCCTTCGGGGGTGATTTCTCACTTTCCCTGTCTTTCTCTGGTGAGTGTATGCACCCTGTAGCAAGTTTTAAAAAAAAAAAAAGTATGTATCCAGGGCATTGTCTCCAGGGGCCGGCTGAGGCTGTGGAAGCCTGAAACAAATGGAAAAATCAGTAATACAGGTCTTATCATTATTGAAAATTTTGTTATATTGCTTATGATGACTTTTTTGCACTGGTTTGAATGCTTAAAAATATTGCAAAAATATCAGGGGACCAGCAGATAGCGTAATGGCTATGTCGCTGGACTCCCATGTAATCGACTGTGGTTCGAATCCCAGACCTAGTGGCTTAAACTCATGCCAGGCGTGTGTGCTTGCCCCAGATCCCAAGAGGAGAATGGAGGAGAAGGGATTGCAGCCTGGCCATCCCCCCTGGGGGGGTGATTTCTTACTTTCTGTCTCTCTGTCTCTCTCTGTCTTTCTGGCAAGCGCATGTGCCCTATAGCAAAAACTTCTCAAAAAAAATGTGTGTGTATTTTTTTTATCCATCAGGGGGCCAGCAGGTGGCATGGTGGTTGAGGTGCTAGACTCCCACATGGCCTACTGCAGTTCGAGTCCCAGACCTGACGGCTTGCTTTCTCACTTTCTCTCTCTGGCGGGTGCACGTACCCTATAGCGAATTAAAATACACGTATAAATAATACCTATCTTGGACTGGCCCAGTAGCCAGTGGTTTAACCACTGGTCAGATCCTACACAGCCAACCCCAGTTTGAATCCCAGTCCTGGTGGTTTGAAAAACATACTAGGCACGTGTGCATGCGGGCCCCCAAATCCTGCTGGGAGAGAGAAATGCAGGAGAAAGGATTGCAGTATGACCCCCATGATGGCGAGGAGCTTTCTCCCTCTCTCACTCTCTGTCTTTCTCTGGGTGAGTACATGACAATTTTTTTTTTTAAAAAAAAGTATTATCTATCTTGATTATTGAATTTTTTGGCAAGTTCTTAAATTTTGTGCCTGAGGCAAACAGGCAAATGCCTCTTACTCTCCTCGCCCTAGTCCTGGGGCAAATATGTCTACAGCGCCTAATACCCTTTACCCTTGCCAAGCTCCTACTCCAACAAAACACAATGGCCCACCAGATTAGCCATTGATACTAACCTGTCAGCTAAGTAGTCTCTTCATGAGGCCCCTCCTCCCTGAAAGTAGAGTCCTCCTTCAGAATTCCTAGCCAGGGGCTGTGTCTCTTCTTCCCCCTGCCAAATCCTTCCTAGACCCTTACACTGGCGGCCTGGCTGGGCCTCCCAACAGGGTAGACCCTCTGAGTACTATGCGTGACCCCAAGAAGGAGAGCCGCCTGCTGCTGCCCAGCTTGGAGCCCCTGGCACCAACAGGACTCTTTCTCATTTGTCTGTTTCTGACCCTCCTGGGCCCTCAGGCCATCCTCCCAGCAGTCTTCCTTCACTGCTCGCCTGCCTCCCGCTCCAATTGTCCCGAATACCCCACCGCCATGTGAAATTCATGTTGG